TGGCGAGAGAAAGGGATTCAGTTTCATTTTGTTGCATATGGATTTCCAGTTTTCCCAGCACCATTTGTTGAAGATGCTATCCTTCCTCCATTGCATGCTTTTAGCCCCTTTATCAAATATAAGATAGTTGTAGTTTTGTGGATTGGTTTCTGTGTCCTCTATTCTGTACCATTGGTCCACCCGCCTGTTTTGGTACCAGTACCATGCTGTTTTTGTTACTATTGCTCTGTAGTATAGTTTGAAGTCTGGTATCGCTATACCGCCTGATTCACACTTCCTGCTTAGCATTGTTTTTGCTATTCTGGGTCTTTTATTTTTCCATATGAATTTCATGATTGCTTTCTCTATTTCTACAAGAAATGCCGTTGGGATTTTGATTGGCATTGCATTAAACCTATAGAGAACTTTTGGTAATATCGCCATTTTGATGATGTTAGTTCTGCCTATCCATGAACAGGGTATATTTTTCCATCTTCTAAGATCTTCTTCTATTTCTCTCTTTAGGGTTCTGTAGTTTTCATTGTATAAGTCTTTCACCTCTTTTGTTAGGTTGATTCCCAAGTATTTTATTTTTTTTTGAAGATATTGTGAATGGAGTGGTTGTCCTCATTTCCATTTCAGAGGATTTGTCGCTGATATACAGGAATGCCTTTGATTTATGCGTGTTGATTTTATAGCCTGCCACTTTGCTGAATTCATTTATTAGCTCTAATAGTTTCTTTGTAGAGCCTTTTGGGTCTGCTAGGTATAGAATCATGTCACCTGCAAATAGTGATAATTTAAGTTCTTCTTTTCCTATTTTGATGCCTTTAATTTCTTTTGTCTGTCTAATTGCTCTGTCCAGTGTTTCGAGAACTATGTTGAACAGAAGTGGAGAGAGAGGGCATCCCTGTCCTGTTCCAGATTTTAGAGGGAATGCCTTCAATTTTTCTCCATTCCGAATGATGCTAGCCTGAGGCTTAGCATAGATTGCTTTTACAATATTGAGGTATGTTCCTGTTATCCCTAGTTTTTCTAGAGTTTTGAACATAAAAGGATGCTGTACTTTGTCGAATGCTTTTTCCGCATCTATCGAGATGATCATATGGTTCTTATTTTTAAGTCTATTGATGTGGTGAATAACATTTATTGATTTCCGTATATTGAACCAGCCTTGCATCCCAGGGATGAATCCTACTTGATCATGGTGCACAATTTTTTTGATATGTTTTTGAATCCGATTCGCCAGAATTGTATTGAGGATTTTTGCATCTAGGTTCATTAGAGATATTGGTCTGTAGTTTTCTTTCTTTGAAGTGTCTTTGTCTGGTTTAGGTATCAGGGTGATGTTGGCCTCGTAGAATGAATTTGGAAGTTCTCCCTCTTTTTCTATTTCCTGAAGTAGCTTGAAAAGTGTTGGTATTAGTTCCTCTTTAAAGGTTTTGTAAAACTCTGCTATATACCCATCCGGTCCTGGGCTTTTCTTAGTTGGTAGTCTTTTGATGGTTTCTTCTATTTCCTCAATTGATATTGGTCTGTTTAGGTTGTCTATATCCTCCTGACTCAATCTGGGCAGATCATATGACTTAAGAAATTTATCTATGCCTTCACTATATTCTAATTTATTGGAGTATAAGGATTCAAAATAGTTTTTGATTATCTTCTGTATTTCTGAAGTGTCTGTTGTGATATTGCCTTTTTCATCCTGTATGCTAGTAATTTGAGTTCTCTCTCTTCTTCTCTTCGCTAGCATGGCTAAGGGTCTGTCGATTTTGTTTATTTTTTCAAAGAACCAACTTTTAGCTTTGTCAATTTTTTCAATTGTTTCTTTTGTTTCGATTTCATTAATTTCAGCTCTGATTTTAATTATTTCTTGCCTTCTACTTCTTTTGCTGTTGTTTTGCTCTTCTTTTTCTAGGATTTTGAGATGAAGTATGAGATCATTTATTTGTTGGTTTTTTCTTTTTTGAAGGAATGAACTCCAAGCAAGGAATTTTCCTCTTAGAACTGCTTTCAATGTGTCCCATAGATTCCGATATGTTGTGTCTGTGTTTTCATTTATCTCTAAGAATTTTTTTTATTTCTTCCTTGATGTCTTCTATAACCCATTGATCATTCAGTAACCTATTGTTCATTCTCCAAGTGATGTATGCTTTTTCCTTCCTTCTTTTATCGTTGATTTTCAGTTTCATTCCATTATGATCAGATAAGATGCATGGTATTATCTCTACTCCTTTATATTGTCTAAGAGTTGCCCTGTGACATAATATATGAACTATTTTTGAGAAGGATCCATGTGCTGCTGAGAAAAAAGTGTAACTGCTTGATGTTGGGTGGTATATTCTATATATGTCAATTAAGTCTAGGTTATTAATTGTGTTATTGAGTTCTATAGTTTCCTTATTCAACTTTTGTTTGGAAGATCTGTCCAGTGGCGAGAGAGGTGTGTTGATGTCTCCCATGATTATTGTATGGTGGTCTATTAGACTCTTGAACTTGAGAAGAGTTTGTTTGATGAACATAGCTGCACCATTGTTTGGGGCATATATATTTATGATTGTTATGTCTTGTTGGTGTATGGTTCCCTTAAGCAGTATGTAGTGTCCCTCTTTATCCCTTTTGATTAACTTTGGCTTGAAATCTATTTTATTTGATATGAGTATGGACACTCCTGCTTGTTTCCGAAGTCCATATGAGTGATATGATTTTTCCCAACCTTTCACCTTCAGCCTATGTATATCTTTTCCTATCAAATGCGTCTCCTGTAGGCAGCATGTTGTTGGGTCTTGTTTTTTGATCCATTCTACTAGTCTGTGTCTCTTAATTGGTGAGTTTAAGCCATTAACATTTAGGGTTATTATTGAGATATGGGTTGTTCTTCCAGCCATATTTGTTTATTTCTGTTACTAAACATGGTTTGTTTTCCTCTTTGATTATCCCCCCCCCTTTACTGTCCTACCTCCCACTGTTGGTTTTCATTGTTATTTTCCATTTCCTCTTCCTGTAATGTTTTGCCGAGGATGTTTTGAAGAGATGGTTTTCTAGCTGCATATTCTTTTAACTTTTGTTTATCGTGGAAGGTTTTAATTTCATCTTCCATCCTGAAGCTTAATTTCGCTGGATACACAATTCTTGGTTGGAACCCATTTTCTTTCAGTGTTTGAAATATGTTATTCCAGGATCTTCTAGCTTTCAGAGTCTGTGTTGAAAGATCAGCTGTTATCCTGATTGGCTTACCCCTAAATGTAATCTGCTTCCTTTCTCTTGTAGCTTTTAAAATTCTCTCCTTATTCTGTATGTTGGGCATCTTCATTATAATGTGTCTAGGTGTGGATGGGAATTTTTTTAATATTTATTTTTTAGTTTTCGGTGGACACAACATCTTTGTTTGTATGTGGTGCTGAGGATGGAACCTGGGCCGCACACATGCCAGGCGAGTGCGCTACCGCTTGAGCCACATCCCCAGCCCAATCCTTTATATTTTAACTTGTAGATACTGAGGACATATTAAGAGTTGGAAAGTCTTTTTAGCTAACACAATAATGAGAGTATCATGGCAATGGAACGTTTTGTGGGACTTAAGAAGAGGACTTTGTGTGTAATAGATGGTATATTTCCCTTCAAGGACCTGCTACTCAGCTGTAGGAGTGGGGACAGCAGACAGGCTTAGTTGGCTATTCAGTTGCAGGGATCCTCCTTTCTTCTCCAAGCTCATTTTCTTCCTGGAACCTCCCAAACTCTGTGATTGACAGCAAGGCAGTGTTATAAATAGATGGCTTTTTCTGACTGATGGAGAACAGTTTGGATGGCAACACCCACTAGAGCTCCCTACCCAGTTGAGTGAAGTCTATTGGGTCTGTAGCCCATCTTGACTTTTCCATTTGCCAATTCTACTTATTGACCCTGCTTTTTATAGGATTGGGTCCTTAAAAACCATCTTGTACCCCAAATTCCATCTCAACATCTGCTTTCAGGGAATGAAACCTGTGATAAGATCAAAGAGATAGGCAGTTGTCACAACTAAAGAGACATATACCATTCTCCAGGGAGAGGTTGGTCATTAAAATAAGAGTGACTGTTCAGAACTCTCTCGACAAGTGGTTGAAATCATTTAGTGTATTATGCCCATATTTTTCTTTTTTTTTTTTAAAGAGAGAGAGAGAGAATTTTTTTTAATATTTATTTTTCAGTTTTCAGTGGACACAACATCTTTATTTTATTTTTATGTGGTGCTGAGGATCGAACCCAGCGCCCCACTCATGCCAGGTGAGCACGCTACCACTTGAGCCACATTCCCAGCCCATATTTTTCAATTAATAAAAAAGCTTTTGATGTTTCTAGTTAAAAATAATCCTACTTATCCTTTGCTTATTACTAGAAATGCTAAAACTAAGATGTACCATAACAACCAGGTGGTTACTATGGCAACGCAGTCACACTGGGTGTAGAGATACAGCAACAGATTTTATTTCCTTTGTAAGGAAAGTTTTTGTATGCACAGTGCTAACCAAAAGGAGTATGCATAATACATTTTGGTGGCATTATCAACAGAAACAACATTCCAGAATTGTTTTGTTTCTCAGATTCTTTCTGTTTTAATAATAAGTACAGACTATTGAGTGCTCATAACATATTAGGCCCTTTCATAAGCACTCAAGTTAGCAACTTACTTAATCTATGAACAGCTACTTGAAGTAAGGATTTTTATTAGCATTTTCATTTTACAGATGGAGAAGTCATACTTATAAAATTTCCCAAAGTTACACGTATTTACTGTCAGAATTGATATCTGAACCTAGAAGTAGTCTAACTCATAGCATGTTATATTGCCCTGGGGTGGTCAGAAAAACTGGAGAATTCAAAATTCTGTGGCAACCCATAGGGATCTTCTTAGGAAAGGTGTACAGAGGAATTGATCAAGAAATTGGAAAAGAACTCACTTTCATCAAGTTTGAACTTAAATACTTGTGATTTTAGATATTAGATTTTATAACATTTCTTTTTCTTGTTTTCTGACATAGGGGATTTGTCATCTTAAAAATCTAAGGATTCTAGACATAGCTGGAAATACTATTCAGATATTTCCACCAGGAGTAAGTAAAATCAACTTCTATTATAATTGAAAATAATTTTGTTGATGCTATTGGGAATAGAAAAATATGGGCAGCCAGTAAAAGCTGCAGTAACTGGAACCTTGAAGTATACAAATGACTCAAAGATTTGCTTTGTTCTTGAATTTCAAAACCTGTTCTTATGATTCTTTGTATTCCGTGCCTGCTGAATTTATTTGAACAAAATGAATTCTGATTGCTATCATAAATATTTTAATATATCAGTTATGATTACATTTTTTTTGGTGGTTACTCATTGCTTTTGATCACCTCATTTTTTTTGAAAACTAGTACTTTATAGGGCATAAATTTTTATCCCTTGTAGTTAGTCCAAAGATGACACTTTTGTTGGTTGTTTTTAAGCTAAACCATGAAAATGCACTTTTTTTTTCCATTTGAAAGTGAAGTTTGAACTTGTTTTATTTCAATAACTGAGAAACACTTTGTTTGATAACTTTTAACTTTTGGGGTAGAAATGCTAGTTTTTCCTTTTGTGTGTGTGTGTGTGTGTGTGAGTTTGTGTGTGTGTGTGTGTGTGTGTGTTTGAGTGAACTTACTTGAACATTCAAGGTGATAATCAGAAGTCCATTAATCCAGGGGATGCTCTATAAATAGCTGTTGATCTACTTTTTTTTTCTGATTGATTGAATACAAATTGAGGTTTTCTTTATCACCCATGAGAAAAGTGAATGATTCAAATATGAAAAAAATGTTTGTATGTGGTGTGTATGTATGTACATATAAGCACATATACTTAAGAAAATCTAATATTTACCATTTAAACCACCTTCAGTGTATAATCTGTGACACTAAGTACTTTCCCCAACTAAAATTCTTTGTCCATTAGACATTCCCCATTCCCTTTGTAGCACTCGTGATAGAGTTCTCTATACATGGTTTAAAATAATTACCTTTTAAAAATAAGACATTTCCCCCTCCTCTGGAAACCACCATTCTACTTTCTGTCTCTATTAACTTGACTATACTAAGCATCAAATGTAAGTGTAGTCATATGACACTTGTCCTTTTGTGACTTATTTCATTTTTTATTATTTCAAAATGTCTCTAAAATTTATCCATGCTATAACATGACAGAATTTCCTTCCTTTTTGAGGCCGAATAACATTTAGTTGTATGTAGATACCCTGTTTTGTCTTCATTTATCTGTGCATGGACAACTGGGTTGTTTCTACCTTTTGGTCATTGTGACTAATGCATGTATGAACAGAGGCATACAAATATTGGTTGTAGTTTGTACTTTCAATTCCTCTGTGTACATTCTCAGATGTAGTATTACTGAATTACTAATTCCATGTTTAATTTTTTAAGGGTTTATTACATTGCTTCCAAAACTTACAGTTTTGAATACGTAGGAACAGTTGGATGTTGTTAATGTGGACCTGGTTAATCCCACGTTTGTATTCATCCTGTGGTCTTAATTTAACTCTCTGTACCTGGGATGCCTCCCTGACTTCCAGTGGAGCCTTCTGGTGCCACTTCTTCCATGGGGCCACTGCAGTTTGGATCTCATAATGGAGTGAGTCTTTACAAGTCTGTCTTTTATTAGATGGTACGCTCCACCAAGAAGGAATGCATTTTAAAAAAACTTTTATCCAAAAGAATCTTGAATATCAACACCATATATATTTCTTAAATGAATAAATTTAAATAATTTTCTTTAACTATACTCAGTATTCACCTTAGTGGTGCTGTTAATTAACTGTTTCTTCTACAAAGTGATTCTGTACTCACAATTTTGATGAAACACCATGAGTTAGGTTCCAAAAATTTAAAATAATTGGGTCAGTTTTGCCTTTATAGCACCTATTTCAGAAATTTTAATAAGCACTCTAAAATAAGATAGTCTATAAACTTATCTGAGTTTGGTGCAAAAATAATTCACTTCAAAATTTTCTAAATGATTTTTCTTTTTTAAAAAAGTAATAATTTGCTTCAAATTATTTTGAAGAAATTGGTGCAAAATTGTTTTCCCACATTTGATAGATGGGAGTTACTAATGGAACAAATGACAAACATAGAGGAATGAATGAATGTAGGCCATGAGCATCAGTGAAAGTAAGTTTCAAAGTGATGGCAATGAACTCTAAAAACATTGACATGTTTTTTTAGGTAGAATAGTAGAGAAATGAAGAACATGGACTCTGGAATCATACTTACATAGGTTTAAAGGCTTAATTTCTCATTAGCTAAATTTATAATCTCAAATAAGTTGCTTAACTTCTGAGATGCTGTTTTCTCATCTATTAAATGGGTATATTAAACAACTAACTTCGTAAGGTTATTAAGTCAGATAATGCTTATAAATCATTTTGTACATCATTATCCACAGAAGGGAAACTGTTATTATTATAAGTTGCATATAAAAATATTCCAATACTCAAATGTTAATCAGTAATATGTAATTAAAGCTATCTTTCACTGTCTACTGGTGATAATAGGAGGCATTACCTTGTATAGTACATTTTAGATTTTTTTTTACTATAAAAATATTCAAACATACATAAAGCAGGATTGAAGTGAAAATCTATGTACCCTTTACTTTGAAGCATACTTTAATTCCAAGACTTGAAACTGTTTTGTGCAGAATTATCTTTACATGGTTTATTTTATTGCCTTACAATTGCTCCCTCTTAAAAAGATAGATCTTTATAGAGGATTATTTAACAATTTTATGACCTAAAATTTGTTGTGCCACTTGGAAAATGCAATTATTTTACAGAAGTATATTTTTTTATTCACAACAGCTTTTATATAACCGAGACTGAATCAGGACTTTTGTATAAAAGTGTACATTAAGTGGAAATCTCTAACAAGAAATGGGACATTATAAATACTTGTTTATATGCAATGACTCTAAAATCTTTTTGGATTATTTAATTATGGAGAAAATTCTGCCATGCATCACATAGTAAAGTTATTGTTTTGGAATTAAATTGGCTCCTTTTTACCACTTAATTAGATGTAGTGTGTCAAGACTTCTCCTTTTTTCCTTTATTTTTTTTTAAAGTTTTAAATATTATATAAATAATGTATCCTCCTTAACATTTCAAGCAATACAAAAATATGGAATAAAGATGAAAGTCTTCATTCTAGGACTTCTCCATGTGTATGATTTTAGAAATGTCTGCTAAAACAGTTTTTAAAATATTATAATGTGTATTCTGTTTTAATTTTTTCATTGCTGCAATCAAAAGACCTGAAAAGAGTAATTTTAAGGAGGAGAAGTTTACTCTGGGGCTCATGGTTTCAAAGGTCTCAGTCCATAGATGGCCAACTTTATTCTATAGGGTCTGAGATGAGTCAGAACATCGTGGTGGGATCATGTGGTGGAAGAATATGGCTCAGGGCATTGCACCAAGAAGCAGAGAGAGCTCTGCCCAACAAGGACAGACTATATACCCCAAAAGCACCCTCAATGACCCAACTCTTTCAGCCATATGTTGCCTAGAGTTAACACCTGGTTAATCCCTATCCAGGGATTAATTCACTGATTGGCTTAAAGCACTCATAACCCAATCATTTCACCTTTAAAACTTCTTGCATTTTTTCACACATGAGATTTTGGGGGATACCACATAACTAAACCGTAACAGTTTCATTATATTCAATTTTCAAGTATATTTTTTTCTTTCTGAAAAAGTACTATCCAAATATTCAAAAGATGCCATCTACTATTGAGAGAAGCCAAAACTCAGGTTGATTTGATCTGATTTATCAGCACACAATTTTAGTACATTCTCAATTCTTCACATAAAGTTATTTGTTATCTAATTCCTTTCTAAGACACAAAAAATTTTTCACCTTAATAGTTTGCAAAGTGTCCTCTGGTTCTTGGATGAATAGGTATTGTTAAGATTTATTTTAAGATAATTATTGTCTTTCTACTCATTTAGCTTGCTTGTCTTTCCATGTCTCTAGTAAGTAGAAAGCTTACTGGAAGCTTTTATAGAAATAATTCATTCATTGTACAAAATGTAGAAAATAAATAAAAGTAGGAAGAGTAAAATGCTGTTTTACTCAGCTTTGTTTGCTGTTTTGGCTTAAAGACCCAAGCAGCACAATTACAGAGGAGGAATAGTTTATTCGAGGGCTCACAGTTTCAGAGGTCTTATCCACAGAAGGCCAGCTCCATTCCTCAGGGTTCAAGGTGAGGCTGGACATCATGGAGGGAGAGTGTGACAGAGGGAAGCAACTGACATCATGGTGATCATGAAGCAGAGAAAGAGAAACTCCACTTGCCAGTTACAATTATGTACACCAAAGCCATACCCTAATTTCCACCTTCTCCAGCCATACACTACTACTTCATTTACCACTCAGTTAATTTACCTTCATTTACCACTCAGTTAATCCCTATCAGGGGATTAAATCACTGATTGGGCTAAGACTCTTAAAATCTGATCATTTCTCCTCTGAACCTTCTTGCATTGTCTCACACGTGAACTTTTGGGGGACAACTCATATCCAAACCATAACAAATGCTAAGTGCTTTTAAATTTACCTCTCAGTGGTAACACTGATATTTTCTTCAAGCATCTTATTTTCATAAGTTCACTTTAAAAATAAAATGGAGAGTACACTTTATAAAAGTATGTTTTTGTTTATCTTATTGTTTTAACATTATATATGGAACATTTTCTTTAATCAAATATTTTTCAAATAATTGATTTTTAATCACTAGATTTATCATATGTTTACTTTTCCTTACATTTTAACTTATTACTGGAGTTAAATTATGTTTTGAATGAACAAACTTTGAAAAAAGAGTGGTCTGAAATACAGTGTCTTTTATTTGCATTTTTCTTTGGGAGAGTAACAGTAGCAAAATGTGGCCTGTGGTGGACAGTGGATAGTCTATGGAAATACTCTTAGTTGTTTAGTTAGTACAGGAAACATGGATCCTTGGTATATTAGTGTTTCACAAATACTATAACATAGTACATTAATTGGGACTTAAAGTA